ATGATGGTAAATTCTCCCGAATTAATTCTCCCTAGCTTGTACACAAAAATAGACAATTTAGGAAGTGCAGGTACGATTATTATTATTATTATATATATTATATATATTATTATTTTATAGTTGTTGACAATCAGTAATTATAAAAGGCTCGAATAATCGTTCATTTTTGTTTACAAGGGACAGTTGGAAAGAGTTTACTGTGCTTCAGAACTTTCCAAAATCGAGATCACAGTCTCGTTCGGTTTCGAAAATGGTGAAAAATGATCTCCGATAGCATTTCCGTCGTCCCTCGCCGCGTGAAAGAGTTTTATGGGATTAGTTCCGATGTCAAAAGAAAGGAGAGAATGCTCGCAGGTGATAAACGCGGGCCGGCCACCTTGCGTGTGCAACGTGTAATTTTCTATCTCGAAGATCTGAACGGGAGAGGTGTATTTTTCAAACAACAGACAACCGAGATTCCACGGGGCTACTCAAATTCCACTTCAAACATTCCACGCGGCCGTGTCTATGTAGAAATCGTCAGGTACTCTTAATTGCCTTAGCGAGCTTATAACAGAGACCTGACCTCGGCACCGAGAACATATTTGTCGAAACGAAAATCTTGAGGATTCTTCGAGCTCTTTAATGCAAATATACGTCGAGATCGCGGCTGCTGCAAAAAATATGACCACGTACACACGTTTGGATTCGTGACAAATAATTCACTGTCTTAAAGCAAAAATTACCATTTTTATGAAACTTCATGAAACTGCTGCAAATATAATCAGATATTAAACAACGCGTCACGTGATTTCTATTCTATCAATCCTTCCACGATATTTATAAAAAAATTTCACTAATGATCGCATAGACTCGATTCAAAAAATACGTGCACATCTGTAAAAACTGCACCGTGATACGATGTTATTAAGTTTATTATAAGAAATGATATAACAATCCATATCGAAATACCGAAGACAGTATAAATTTATTTGAAGAATAAAAGGGTTAACAAAATATTGCACGTCTTTGATATAACGAAAGGAAAACCGTTCATTCGGATAAAAATATACCATTGAGAATACAAGAAAAATACCTAATAATTAAAGAACGCGAGAAAAGTAATAATTAAAGAATACAAGAAAGATAATAATTAAAGAACGCAAGAAAACTAATAATTAAAGAACACACAAGAAAAGTAACAATTAAAGAACAAAAACAAAATAATAATCGATTAAACCTTGTTCAAAAGTTGCGAGATTACTGACGACAAAATCGAAATTGTCTCGCAGACCACCGTTTTATAACGACGATAACA